TTATTATTAGATTGCTCTGTTCTGGAATCAGTAAGATTCTCACATAATAAATATCAGATATATACTTGTCAGTAACACCAATCAGGAGCTGACATGGCTACTGTTTGTGTGTACTATCATCCAGGGTTTAATAGACGTGCTTATATATGTCCAACCTTCGATGATAGGTTGAATCTAGTTGGGGGTGTGAGATTGAACATAAAATAATTGAACAGCTCACTTCTTCTGGAATAGTTCTATATATTGGTAAAACACTTATAATAATAATATATATATACACTAAAGACCAACAGCTGTCTAGTCCTTCGGATGACACGAAAAACCGAGGTCCCATGTATACATTAGAATGCACGTAAAAGATCCCTTGGCAGTTGGAATTCGATATAAGAGTAGGCGATAGTGCCGCTGACCGGGCAAAATTTCCCTCATAGCACACTGTAGGACGTTAAACCCCATTTCATTTCATTTCATTTCCTTCAATATGTCTTCCTGCCTACCTGTGGTCAACAACCGAATTTTTTTCAATATACAATTTTCAGGACTTTAATACCTTTAGCTTTGTTTCTTAGTAATCCTAAGTTTATAATCTTTAATACATTAATGCCTACTGGATTAACTGGGCAATAGATAATAGTTTATGAAATAAATGTCCCTCTAATATAATTACAGAGTTGACTTTGATTACCTTTCAGGCTAATAAGCTGTAACATTTGGCTAGGACCTCAACTTAACTATGCTCTAATTCTACCTGTTCATAGTACTATAGTTATGCCTGGGGGGTTGGAGAGCTGAATCGTTAAACACATGCACTTTAGATCATACGATCTATCATTTAGTCAAGTGACATGGTTTTGATCCCACATTTAATGTGGAAAGATGTAGGATCACTTGTCTATAACCTGTTGGATTTTCTCTAAATTGTCCTGTTTCCTTCTATTGCTAAAGTCCCCCATGGGAATTGAATTATTTAAATAAAATTGAACAATATGTTAGTCCAGAAATGACCTAGTTTTGTTGAGGAGACATTAAATCCTGTCTCGCCTCCCCCACTCGTTGTCATATTTGGAAAATGGGAATGGGGAAAATATGCTGGTTTTATGGCATGTAAAATAACTCGTTCATCAAATTTATTCCATATTAACAGATTACAATCTTTCTTTCTCATTTGAGTGGGGTTGGATGGCCAAATGGTTAGCACATGCGCACTGTATCATAAGGTCTGTCATTGAGTCAACTGGCGGGATTTTGATTCCCCGGTTGTACGTGACAAGGAGTAGGGTTGCCTGTCCAGCCTCGTGGATTTTTATGGGGTCCTCCGGTTTCCTCCCACTGCTAAAGAACCCTACGCGCAAGCGAATTATTGAAATAAAGTTGAACCATGTGTTAGTCCCAAAATGACCTAGTTTGTGTCGAGTGGACGTTAAACCCCATTTCTCATTTGAGGATCTTTTAAATTTCCCAGTCTGTATACGATTTCAATCCAAGTAGAAATGTGGAAGGTATCATGCAGCATTAGCTAGCGTTGCTCTAGCTAAGACATACATGAAGTTGGAACATGTGTTCTAGATGATTGGTTTATTTTCTGATATAATTATCAAGTTATATTTAGGTATACATGTTTCACTGGGAGCCATAGAAAGGTGTGTCTAAACCATAAGATTTCTATTTTTCCGGAAACACCTCTGTAAACTCAGCCTGCACCTAATCTAACAAAAAATATGGCACTGTAAATACATGTATTCAATTGCTGGGAATGTTCCTTTGATTCAGTTTGTGTGAAGGTTCTCTGATGGACAAATAACAGAAATTGAAAGAACTAGATCATTGACTCAAGTTGTGTTCAGTGGAAATGTTACTCCAATTTTATACAATGTTTCTCAAGTTATACATGTACTGTTCTGCCATAGAGCTTGGAAGTCTAACTCAAATTATGTGACTGTTCTACCATAGAGCTTGGAAGTCTTACTCAAATTGTGTGACTATGTATTTAATTGGCAGGATGTTAAAGATCCCCTGGCAGTTGCAAATTAAAATAAGAATGGTTTTAGTGCTGCTGTCTGTGGAAAAGTGGGAGCCACGGTTGCCAAGTGAGTAGGACGCTGGCTCGCTAAAGTAGAGGTTGCGTGTTTGATCCCTGCATTGGTCGAGAAAGTTCATCTGGATTTTCAGATGTGGTTTCCCCATGTGCAGGATCGAGGGCCTGACAAGGACAGCTGTCCAGCCGTTCGGATGGGATGAAAAACTGAGGTCCTGTGTACACATTGCCGTGCATGTAAAAGATCCCTTGGCTGTTGAAGAGTAGGCCATAGTGCCGCTGCCCGGGCAAAATTTCCCTCATAGCACACTATATGGCATATGCCCGTCTTCATTAGCCCAGTTGGAGCAGAAAAGTAGGACGTTAAACCCCATTTCATTTTTATTTGTGTGGAAAAGTTCACTCATAGCACATTGTATACCCATTTGTGCAGAAAAGATGTTAAACTCCATTTGATTTGATATCATTTCACGTATAACACATGCGTTTATTAACGAGCATGTCTCCATTGAAATTGTATTTGTCATAAAATAAGATAAATATTGATGACTAATTTATTAAATGTAACAGTAAATAAAAATGTTCTGAAACTCTTCTAATTTGTTTTCCTTTGTAGACTACCTCGAGCTACGCCTGTCCGTATTGCAGTATAACAGTGTCCCATCCTAACAGTTTGTCTCGCCATGTGAAAACGAAACATCATAATAGCAGAGTATCTTGTCCAGTTTGTTACAAAATCTTGACACGCAAGGAACATCTACGACGCCATCTTCTCTCTGTACATAAAATTTTAATGGACAACCCGTCTCAGAATTAACCCTTTCGCTGCTGTACACTATGGATATTGACACACATGGAAGGAACATCTACAACACCATATTCTCTGTGTACATAAAGTTTAAATGGACAATACTACTCAAAAATAACCCTTTCGCTACTGGTCACTATCGATCATGACAGGCTAGGAACGTCTATGACGCCAATTTCTCTGTGTACATAAAGTTTAAATGGACAATACTACTCAAAATTAACCCTTTCTCTACTGGTCACTATCGATCATAACACGCAAGGAACATCTACGATGCCATATTTTCTGTGTACATAAAGTTTAAATGGACAATCCTACTAAAAATTAACCCTTTAACTACAGCTCTGCTCATTTCTAAAAACAAACTACTGAACAAAATCGGGTTCAGAAAAGTTACCATGGGTAAATGGGACAAAAAAGGTTGGGAACCCCCTGATTAAACTCCTCATCAAAGAATAAAAGTTGGCTATGGTAAATACAATTTAATCAGCTTGCTATTTCAGTTTTACTTGTGACAAAATTTGTGCTCTGACATGCAATTGTGAAATTTAGGCCTTAGCAGTATGGTGCCTCAGTATTGGTCAAATTTTCTTTAGTGGCATTTATTGATTGAACTAGAAGTACAGTTGTTATATGGAATACAATTATTGTTTATTGTTGAATGACAGTATGACTTGATCAAAAAAAAAGCTTAGTTAAATGTCGTTCAGTAATTGTATTCTGTAGAAAAATAACAGGAATATTTGCTTGTACTTTTGATGGATTCTGAATTAGGGTATTAAGAATTAGGATCAGTCTGAAATGGTGCTGTGATCATCCTTAGTTTGTGCTGTAATGACAGGACAGTGTCGATAACATTTTGTTGAAGTGTATATCACGTTATTGAAATGGTGAGGGGAGGGGGCTTATGTAATAACAATAATAACGATGTAATCCATCATGTTCTTGTACAATTGAATGATGCCATCATTTATTTTAATTAGAGTTTTCTGTTGTAATCATAATATAGCTTTGATCCATAGACACAAGGCAGAATGTAAGGTTTGTCTGTAAAGAGGTACTTGCACAGATCTTGCCAAGTTTGTTGCTTATACTTTTTTTTACATTTTATTTTGATCCCCAACCGTATCACTGAGATCCAATCTTGCCTGCATTGTAAAGGAATTATAGAACCCATCAGCTGTACTTATAGTAAGGTGATAATTCGTCATGGTTTAGGAGTTTGTTAGAATAACTGTTTGAGCCAACCACTGCCAGAACATATATATAGGAGGCACAAATTATGTAACCACTCTGCATAAACTTATTTTGATGATGTAATTTTTGGTCATATTAGACATATTGGATTTGCACTATATTATTATTTCTTACTATTAAAACCACTGATCATCATTTAATAGATTTTGAATCATCCCTTGCAAATTACAATATTGTGAATGTTGAATCTCTTAAAGGAATATCAATCCAAAGCTGGTTTAATTCTGATTAGAAATTAACATTTACCAGCATTCAGCATTCTTTCTAGACAACATAAACCAGAGCGTGCCTTTTGACCAAAATCTTTTGATGGGTATCTGTTTAATCTGATTGAATCCAATCGAGATTATCTACCATTTGAAATTACATTGGATTAAAAACAGGCCCATCAATTAGTTTCACGGTCAATAATTGTGGTGGCAGGCTTGTTACATTGTAAATATTGAATGGAATCAAACCATTTGATATTCCTATTATTAATGACTCAACTTTCACAATGTAGACTGATGTCCAAAAGAAAGTATACACACTAAAAGTATGACTAAGTTTTGTTTAGATTAAAAACATTTGATAAAGCATTACTGAGTTTGTCTCTTGCGTCCAAACTCAAGATTTCTAAGCAAAATAAAAATGTGAAACAAATTGACATTCTACCCAAATACTGTATACCATGGAAAAACGACTTTGGTTGATGCAGCACAAAATGCACAGTGTATACTTTCTTTTGGACATCAGTATAGTTTACAATAGCTCTAAAATCACACCCAGAGTTTTTAGGCCGTGCAAAAATTAGATATTGTCTGAAAAAAGTAAATAATGTCAAACATCCTTAAGCTAACGGTCCTAAAATTATGATATGTTTGATTGGTGCTTAGTTTTTCTGCATCTTGTATTTTGTAGGTTACTGCTGGTGCTGGAAGTAAAAAAGGACCATTTTTCTGTTATTGGTGTGATAAGAAATTTAATTGGAAAAGTGCTTTAACCCGTCACGCTCGTGGTGCACATCTTAACTACCGTGTTACTTGTGACATTTGTAAAAAAACTTTTGTGAGAGCCGATTATTTATCAGAACATAAGAAAAACATGCATCCATTTCATAATACCAGCCCCAAAAAGTGAACAACATAAATTTTTTATTTTAAATGATGCATATTAGAGAAACTGTATATGTAACATTGACCATTGAAATAAGCATTTACATACATACATTTAACTTTCATCAATGCACCTAGCACACCACATACAATAAGCTTATACATGTAGACATGGTTATTTAGTCACTACTAGGAGTATGTTTGGAAATGTTAAAATCCATGTACATTGTACACTAATTAATTTGTACAATATGTGCAAAACATTGTACACACTAGTTCAATGAAACATCTTGTAACTACACAGTAGTTCACAGATTTCTCCTAATTGCATAGAGTATTAAAGGGCGTATGGCTCTATTTTTTTAACCTTGAAATAGACAAAAATGGTTCTAAAAGCACACATTAATGTAATATGAATGTATGTGAAGTGATTAATATTCAATTTTTGAAAAATTCTAATCAATTATGTTCGGTGAAATATGTGAACTGTCAAATTGAATGGCAGTTGTTTACACCTGCTTAGTGCTTTCTACACATTTTTTAAATTATTATTTTGTCGTTTGTGATTCAGCCTTTATTAATTACTTCAACATTATGTTGTAGGATATGGTTTTTTTGTTTGTTTATTACAAAATGGCACTCGAAACCATAGGGTACATGACTCATGTACTGATTATAAAATGTTAGTTGTCTTAATTATTGGATAGTATTATCCTATAGTTTAATGGCAAGATAACAACATCAATATTGATTGAAATTTATCAATATTGAATTCTAATGCATGTTTTTAATTTCGAATATTATGGAAAATATTGAGTTAGAGACTTAGCTCCTTTAAACTAGAGCACATTTTTACAGGAGAATAATTACTAATTTATCTGAAATAAATTAATGCTTCCATAAGAATGTGTTATAGTTTATGACCCTCACCATCACAAAAAGTAAATTGCTGTATCAATCAAACTATGTTCGTTTCTGGTTAGTTATTTATAAAATTTTACAGGATTTAAAGTGATATTTTAATATATGTTAGGTGATAAATGTTATATGTATAATTTTTAAGCTGATACACAGTTAATAAGAGTTAACTGGTTAGGGTCAGATTTTGGGTTTAAATCTCTGTGACCGAAAGTCATACATTCCAATTTCATTGGTTATGCATATAGTTTAAAAAAAATATTAATTTATTTAAAGTACGGAACTGTTGAGAGTTCTTCAGCTTGTAGTTTTTTATGTAAAGTGTTATTGTTGTAAATTGTTGTTTGTTAAGTAAATTATTGAATGTGCATATTATGTTTGTGAATGAATTTTAGATGGTTTTGACGATTTTTTTTATTAAAGCCACTAATTGTCATTTGAGGGATTTTGAATCCTTTGCATACTACAAGGAGTCGCTGTGGCTAAGTGGGTAAGACGGAGGCTAGCTAGCCTAGAGGTGGCAGGTTCTCTCCTGAGGATTTTTTGGCGTGCTTTTTTGGTGCAAGACGGAGGACCTGACAGAGAGAGCTGTCTAATTGTTAGAATGGAACGGAAAAAAAGAGGTCCCTTGTACACATTGGCGTGTCTTGATTAGCCCAGTCGGTGCAGAACAGTATGAGGTTAAACCCCATTTCATTTCATGCAAACTACAACATTGTGAACGATGAATCCCTTAAATAAATCAGTCCATAAATGATTCAGTTTCCTTTTATAATTAAAAGATATGAAGAAATTAAATCTGTCTACTGTTGATACTGTGGTTTTGTTTTCTTAATCAAATGTTAATCTGAATATATTTAAACATGAATTAAGTGTGAAAGTTTACATATTGTTCGCAAAATGCAAATTAGGACGATCAGTGGCTTAAAAGTAAAATAAAATGTTGTAAATGAATTGTTTTAATCGCATATTTATAAAATTTTTTTTAACAAAACTGTCTGGTTTGATTTATTTAGTTTATTACCATTATTTAATAAGTTTAAGTGGCTCGGTGTCGGTGAATAAGGCATAACTTGCTAGATACGTGTTCCCGGGCTCGATGTGTTGGCTGAGAAAGTACATCAGGATTTTCCGACTAGGTTTCACATTGTTATGAGAGCAGAACAAAGGGCCTGGGAAGGAACAGTATCTAGTTGTTCAGATGAGACAAAAAACCATGCCAGGCAAAATTACCCTAATACTTATACTAATATATAGCAGACTGTATGGTGTAATCCGGTCGGTATATAAAACTAAGATGTTAACCCATTTCATTTTCATACTATGTCATACCCATCATCATTAGCCCAGTTGGTAAAGAAATGTAGGATGTTAAAGTCATTCATTTAAAATAAGTTTTAGAAGTATTTATGAGTGTTTTATTTGTTTAAGGGATAGATTATACAGGTCTAGAAATAGTAATTTTATATGTACAGAACAACTTGTCAGACACTATTTGATCTAGTACCTAAGATAGTACCTAAGATTTTTAACTTTGTACTGGACATGTATTAAAGATACATTATGTAAGATTTAGATAAAGAGCTAGCCATTCTTACTATAATAGTTCGAAAATAGATAATGTAAAATGAATAATTTGGAAATTACTTTATTGCGATCGAAGATATTAGCCTTTGAAGGTTTGACAAAACGTGTGCAATAATTTCAACCACCGTACTGGTTGTTCGAAGCTAAGTCTTGCTCCTCCATTTTTAGCTTAAATCAAAATATGGCTGAACTGTTCTGATCTATTTAATATCAGAGAAAACTGATGCCATCGAGAGTTGATTATGGCCTGAATAAGTTAATTAATGTCTAATTAATAATTAAGATAACATTTCAGACCTAAAGAAAGACCTGCAATAGGCAGATTTAGCTCTTGCACAATGTATGTATTAATCAAAACCCTGAAAATAGAGAAATCTGTGTAGGACAAAAATGAAGAATAGTGTCTGACAAAGACTGAATTTGTGCCTGACAATGTATGTGACTGACAGGTGCCTTATTTCCAGGCTTGACTTACATAGCTGTATTATCCATTTTGTTATAATATAACGTAAATTATTAAAGTTGTTATATTAATATCAGTTTTTGTTTCCTTTTATTGTAGGGATCAAGGGTAGTGCAAAGTGGCTGTGTTTCGTGCCCAAACTGTGGCAAACAATTTGCAAAAACCGGAAATCTAAAGAGACATATACTAAGTAGTCATTTAAATGTTCGACATGACTGTAAGATTTGTAGGAAGCAGTTCTCTCAGAAAGTCACCCTGAAAATACATTATCGAAATTTACATAATGTTGATATGGATGACTTTTTACAATCTACATATAATGATAATGATGACTTTTCACAATGTACATAATGTTGAGAAAGATGACTTTTCACAATTAATGTTGAGAAAGATGACTTTTCACAATTTACATAATGTTGATATCTATAAATGACTTTTCACAATTAATGTTGAGAAAATTGACTTTTCACAGTTTATATAATGTTGATATAGATGACTTGACGACTTTTCACAGTTTATATAATGTTGATAAAGATGAATTTTCACAATTTTCATAGTGTTGATATAGATGACTTTTCATAATTAATGTTGAGAAAGATGACTTTTCAGTTTACGTAATGTTGATAAAAATGACTTTTCACAGTTTACATGATGTAGATGCCATGTCTCACTTTTCATATAGGATTATCTCGCTGGTGTCAATAACAAATTTCCTATGCTTTATAGTAGGAAAAGGGGTTGAAAATTAGAGGAAGTTTATATACATGTGTGATGCGTCACAGACTGGTGAAATAAAACATATAAACTCCACTGTCAATATAATGTTTTATAGTCCCACCACTACAGTAAACTAAAAATCTTTAAGCAATGTGGACTAATGTTGCTTCTAAGTCCCCTCCAGTATTTGCCACTTATGCCAGGGATACAGTATCCAAATTTTATTCGGCATGCGCATAAAAGATCCCTTGGAAGTTGAAATGCAATATAAGAGTCGGCTGAACAGTAAGACATTAAACCCTATTTTATTTCATTTCATTGCTTTTGGCCACATAATATAGACTTAAATTTGACATGGGGTTGGATGGCCAAATGGTTACCACGTGCACGCTGTTCGTAAGGTCTGTTATTGAGTCAACTGGCATGGTTTCAATTCCCCGGTTGTTCGTGACAAGGAGTAGTGTCACCTGTCCAACCTCGTGGGTTTTCTGCTGGACCTCCGGTTTCCTCCCACAGCTAAAATAAAATTGAACCATGTGTTAGTGCTGAAATGACCTAGTTTGTGTGTGTGTGTCTTTCCCTCTCTCTCTCTCTCTCTCTCTCTCTCTCTCTCTCTCTCTTAAAGTAGCATGTGCAGTGTTTATTTTTCATGGATGAGGTGTAGTCAGTATTTAGATGTACCAGCTGATCTAGGGTTAAATGAATCATTTGAATTTATTGGGCGCTAGTTGTGTGCAACGACAGGAAGCTAAATAAGTATCATAGCTGTCCAGAGTCCAGGATTTGCTAATCAAATTTGGATCAAAATATTTATGTAAAGCAAAAAAAAAATGATAATGAATAAAAAGATTGAAGTTGCTGTGGTGTAAATGAAGTTTTCTCATTATAAATGGTAGAAAGACCTGAAAATGCTAGGCAGGCGTCCATATTTCTCCGCAAATTTAAGCATGCAGTATTCTGCACCCTGCATACTGCAATAAGTCTGGAAACTGTAATGTGGTTCATAGAGGGTCAGATATTCATTCAGTAAAGCATGTTATCCAGAGACACCCTTTCACAGCTTTTCTGTGGGCGTTTTAGCCAGCGAAAAAGTTGGTCTAATGCAAATGTTATCAGTCCGTTTCCATACAACCAATAAAAACACTTGTGGAAACGCCACGAAGATGAGCGCATGGAAAACAGGCCTAAATGTGATCACCTCGACAAACTCCAAACCATACACCGCATCTAACAGAAGTCATTTCACCTTGTATGACAAGTGATGCATGATTTAATACTTCCTTATAAAACATGCCTTATCCTTTTGCCTGTGTTCTCTATTTCTAGGGACAATTAAAAGATGAAAGGATTGTATGTAGCATTTGTGGATCCAGTTTTACAAAAAAGGCAAATTTGAAGCGGCATGTTCGAAGTGTTCACTTAGATATTCGAACAGAGTGTCCATATTGTTCTAAGACTTTCAATCGAAAGGAAAACATGAAAACACATATAAATTCTTTCCATGCACACAATCTAAACTAACTTCGTAAGTATTGTTAACAAGCATTGGGTCAATAGTTTTTATAATTTAACCCTTTCAACATGAGGTTCATCGGAATTTTCCGGCACGGTTTCTCCTTGTTAGTGCTGCATGACAAAGGACCTGACAAGGACATGTGTCTTGTTGTTTGGATGGCACAAAAAAAAAACGAGGTCCCGTGTACACAATTGGCGTGCACGTGAAAGTTCCCTTGGCAGTTGGAATTTGATATATAAGAGTAGGCTGTAGCACCGCTGTCAATGCAAAATTTCCCTCATAGCACACTGTATGGCATATGCCCGTCTTCATTAGCCCAGTTGGATTAGAACAGTAGGACGTTAAACCCCATTTCATTTAAACACAAGTGGCTGGATTATTGTTGTACGTAAAATGCACTACAAATATTTACAACATTATTAAAAGCTTGAGTAAAATATACCATGTTATATTTAATATAGCACGGCTTTGATGAGTTAACAGGTTTAACCAGAGGTTGAAGGCCGAGGGGTTAAACCTGTTAACGAATGAAGCATGCTATAAATGACTTGTAACATTGACAACTGCTCAACATGCTTGTTGTTATTGCACAGAAAACCCACCCCACTTCTCCATATGATTTCTACTAAAACTAGTGTAAACCAGCAAAAGTGTGCAATAACATTGAACAATTGCACGGTTAAGCTCCACCCAATCTACTAGAGGGAAAACAATCTGCTTATTTAACCAAAAAAAAAAACAAAGGAAGATTTCCCATCTGTGTTACAAGAATATTTATTTACTGTCATTTTAAAACAAGCATCAGTAATAAATAATTAACAGAAAATAATATTTTAATAGTATAAACATCACTGGAATATACTGTGAATATTTAGTTATCATTATTTTAAGCATCAATAAAAAAAATTTTGTTAAACTATTTTCTAAATTTCTTTTTTTCGTACCATCACCCTATTTGTCTGCTAGTTTCTTGTCACCATATATATGTTGGGGGATGCCGGTGTTGACCGAAATAGTTCATCAGGATTTTCCTACATGGTTCCCCCTTGTGCAGGATGGAGGACCTGACAAGGACAGCTGTCCAGTCGTTCGGATGGGACGAAAAGCTGAGATCCTGTGTACACATTGCCGTGCATGTAAAAGATCCCTTGGCAGGTGGGATTCAATAAGAGTAGGCCATAGTGCCACTGCCCTGGCAAAATTTCCCTCATAGCACACTGTATGGCATATGCCCTTTTTCATTAGCCCAGTCGGAGTAGGACAAGAGGGCCTGACAAGGGACAATGTGTATTTGTTTGGATGGGACGAAAAATTGAGGACCCGTGTACACAATGACATGCACTTAAAAGAAGCCTTTTGGAATAGAATTGAGGCTGTAGCATTGCTGTCCCTTATAGCACACTGTATGGTGTATGACCATCTTCATGAGCCCAGCCGTTGCATAAAATTAGGGCATTAACCTATTTCATTTCAGACAGGGCTGGGGTTTGTGTTAACATTAGACTAACTAGGCAGAAAGGGGGGTTGGGTGGCTGAATAGTCTAATGATATGTGCACTTCAGATCATAAGGTCTGCCATTGAGTCAAGTGGTGTGGTTTCACTTGCAAGGTTTCCTCCCACTGCTGAAGACCTCTATGTGCAAGTAAATTATTGAAATAGGATTATACCATATGTTAGTCCCAAAATGATGTAGTTTGTGTTGAGTGGATGTTAGACCTCATTTCTCTCGTTTATGACCACAGTGCCATGTATTAAGATTGTCATATACTAAGTTTAGCTGAGGGTCTTTCACCAAGAAAATTTTTGAAAGTTGGTGCAGAAACGATGAAATCTGACATGTTCTGGCAGGCTACCAGTTAAAATCTATCAGATCAAAATACAACTTAGATCACTAGAATCTATAACCATTTTGGTTCACTTCAACGTAGCATATGAACAAAAATCTTGAATCCTGTTTTTATAATTAACCAAAGTATGATCATGCTCAGCTAGCTCAAAGATCAAAACACCTCCTGGCTCCATTCACGAGGAAACCTGTACCCTAGTCTCCACTCACTAAACAGACAAGCATGAGATGAGATTTCCCGCTTACCTAAGCAACCAATGCTCGAACACATGTCAATTGTTAAAATCGGTGAAGAGTTAAAGCAAGAAGGATGGTCAGACAATCTCATTGCTGGTGTACTAAAAACATTTTGAAGGACAGTCAGCAAAAAAGTAAGGTCATTGGGGCACGGGGGGAGGGTCAATTTGCACCCATAGCCCTTCTATTCCGGCGCCCCTGTGTGTAATATTTGCAACACAACACAATCACTGGTTTATACACATATAGCACGACTCTTCAACAAGTATCCTCTTGTCATTATCGAGCACAAATGATAATTAGTAAACTAAGTAACGTAAATATTGCCTTTTAGTTTACTAATTATCATATGTTACATTATTATATGTTAGTCTCAAAATGACAAAGTATTGTGTTGGCAAAACCTTTAACCCTATGCCAGTTTAACTCATATTCAGTTTTTCAAAAAACAACTACCAGATTTATGTTCCTTTTGCTTTTTTAAGAGGTAAAGTTTGTTTCTGTTTCTAGTTGTTCGGTTGGGATTGAAAACCAAGGTCCCATGTAGACATTGGCGTGCTCGTAAAAGAACCCTTGGCAGTTCGAATTCGATATAAGAGTAGGCCATAGTGCCGCTGTCCGGGTAAAATTTCCCTCACAGCACACTGTATGGCCCATTCAGAGCAGAACACTAGGACCTTAAACCCCATTTCATTTCATTTCATTTTGTGTTTCTGTTTTGTTTTAGGGCCAATCAGACGAG